CCCCCGGACTGTAGTCTCAATCCTAGGAAGTATGATCAAGATGTCGTTGATATATGACTTGCCATTTTCAGGTAACTCGCAGCCTTACAACAGAAGACTTGCCCTCTAGTGCGTGACGGTTATAAGCGGGGGCGGTTTCCGGATTATAATACGATACAACGATTTAACGGTCGGTGCGCATTTCTCGCATATCGGTTGCGTGCAGATGAAAACCCTGAGGCCATTTGTGAATCAAAAACAAAACAGCTATTAGCGACGTCAAACTGAGCTCAGCAACACCGAAAACTGCTTGATTGCTCAATACATCCGTTGAATTAAAGTTTTGAATCGTTTCTTAAAGAGAGGCTTGATCATTAATTTCTAAGTAATCAAAAGCTCAACTAATTTTCAAGTTTGCCACGAAAATAAACTATGCTTAAGGATGTAAGGCAAGAGTCGCCGAGGGGAAGTTGAACGGTTCGACTTGGAAATTTATGTAGCTTTCTTAACTCAAATAATCTAAACCGTCCGAGTGAGCCAATCATAAAGTCAGGAATAGATGACCCACAAAACACCTTATTGGAAGTCATTTTTCGATTTGAGAAGTAGATTCATCGGTCAATTCGACATTTCAGTAAGCTTGAGCATCCATGGAAGACCAAAAGCTGGTATTTGTATGTGTGAGAGCTGATTAGAGAGCAGCTTCAAATCCCATTCGGCTGCAGCCATCCTGTTTTCTGCTGCCTCTGATTGTTCCAATGCGATGAAATTGGTTGAGAAAAAAAAGATACCAATTCTAAAATAGCAAAAGAAAAATAATGTTTAATTCTGGAGATCCAGCTCTCAAGTAATTAATAAAGAGGAGGAAATAACAGGTGCACCGTTAGAGTTTATAGGGCATGGATAATTCCTTTCACGAAAGCCAACTTAGCCCGGTGCTGCTTGGGAAACCATGTAAATTACGATATTTTTGTGTCAATTCGGAAACTAGAAACAAAAGTTACATGCTACGACTTATGTATTCAAAAGCTCATGGAAGGAAATGCGTCACGTTATGGCAACGAGCTTTGTTTTTGATTGAAAATGCGTAGCCATGTGGAAGTGCTTTAAAGTAAACTCGGAAACACTAACGAGTCTTTGTGGCGGTTTCACAATGTTTCAAACGAACTTATTGATAAGTACGGGGGCGGTTTTATCATTGTAACAAAACAACGTCATTGTGCCCAGAATTTTCGTTATCGACCGGGGATAAATTGCCTTTAATATAAAGACAAGTGTAAAAAGAGGAATCTTGAGAGGTTTTGCTTCTACGACGTTTTCCCTTTTGGCCAGTTGTTAATCACGTGTCTACAGGTTGGTCAGAAACTTTCCAACTCTATACACTTAGGACTTAATTGCTAGTATGTTTGTGAGTTTACTGATGATCTGTTTATGTGCGTTGTAATTGTATCACTTTTAGAAAATATTTATCAGTTTTCACATTTGCGCTATTTATCTCCGAAAGATGGTACAAACTGTTTGGACGTTAAATTGGAGCAGATTAGATTAGGATTCAACCACAAAAAGGCTTTAATTCTACTAAGATACTGTTCTAAATTGTGCTACTATGATAATCTTCTCTATAATAACAAGAAGAAAAACAAAAAGAAGTTAAATTATATAAATAACATTTATGTATGTATATATATATATATATATATATATATATATAAATAATATTAAACATTAGACATTTAACATTAACATTAAACCCCTGAAGAGTGAAGCGATTCACGAAACAGGCTTGTCGGGATATGTAGTTGCGTCGTTTTTTCCTCTCATAATATTTATTCTGCTCTGCTTCAACGTATTGAGCACTGTTCCACGCGAAAATCGACTTGCAGACTTCCTATATATATATATATATATATATATATATATATATATATATATATATAAACAATTGGATACTTTCCTTTATAAACTTAAAAGACGGAGAGTTTACACTTTATCTTGAGCAGATACATCTTCAAATACAAAATGTGCAGTCGTAACTTATGGATAATTTAGGCCTCGTGTGGAACGTAATTATTTTATATTATTGTCAGTTCGGTGAGTCACTTTACTTCCAGAAATTAAGCTCCTGGAGTATAGTGCATTGCAATTCAAAGCCGAAGAGTTATTTAAAAGAGACGTTTCAAAATGGTCATCAAAACAGGTTTTTAAAGATATTCTTCTGTTATTTTGACCCCTTCGGTAAATTGCTGAGGTGAATGAATTCTTAACTTAATTGTTTTCCTGAAGTTTTTTTAAACAAGTAATTTTACTGGGGGGTTTTTTGTAGTCCTTAGTCGTGCATCAGGAATGCAGTTGATCGATGAATAACTTTCACACACGAATTGACTCTACTTTTGTCCCAGATTTGATCTTCCAAAGAATAAATAGCTTTATTGACTTCAAACGTAGATGCAACCGTCCGGAATTGGATCAACGTCATGTGTATTTCTTTTAAAAATGACTGAAAGCCAATTATGAAACCTCAAAATAAAAAAAACAATTGTTTAAGCAGTGACGCAGCAATATCGAAGCGTGCGAAATTAAACGTTAACACCTCACAACTTGCTAGGCAGAACTTCTCGTATGTGCTCGTATTTCTCAGTCATAGTATTCTCAAACGAAACTCATATTTACCCTGCAACCGATAAGAACTTGTGGCAAGTAAATGTTGCGACTGACTTGTCCTACAGAATAACGTTGTTGATGTGCTACCCACCAGTGAAAGGAACTAAGGTCTACCCGGACATGCACCTCTTTATACATTTAAGAAATGATGTCCGTACAATTCATACTCAGAGCTACGCCCTACGTTATTGGCCGGGAATACTAGTTATAACAAAATATTTAATACTAACAAGTGTACAATAATTATTACGACATCACTGTCCATTACCTCTCAAGCGAGATAAAGCTAAACCTGTATCAGATTGTATCTAGAACAGTGTCTTATATACTACGAAGACTCTTCCATGATCTTTCACCCAGTGTTAGTATAGCTGAACACTGACTGCGTATAACGAAGCACTTACTGACTTCCAAGCACGGTAGAAAACTAATATAGATCGATTTCGATTTGTGATTCGAATTAGCCATCGAGAAGTTTCTCATTCGATCTTTGTAACGGTATCATGTAAAATGATTCTCCACAAAGCATGAGCTTTGTAGATTAAAGTAAACTTGCACATAAGCAACACTGAGCTAAGGAAGCAAAGATCGGTATGAAATCGAACTTAACTGCTCAAGTGCCTTGCAATAGAAAAATCACACATACTGCGAGAGACATCAATGCGCGAGGAGATTTTTGTATTAATCGTTTTAAAGCTCGGTATAGTAAGTTGGGGTATCCTAGAAAAATCCAGTCGTCATACAAGTTCATAAGTCTTGGTTGCTGATAGGGTGTTAAATTGACAAAGTTTTGAGGCTTGAGAATTAACGAGGGCTGGTGATGTCGTGGCTGATGATGCTAGGTGGCTCGAAAACAACAAGGCTTTCTGAAACTGATCAACCGCCTGACAATGTGCGTGCTTCAAAGTGCGTTGCTACATACATTGACTCTTACCTGAGCAAGTCGGATGTATCACATCTAGCATAAGGCTTTAGAACTGGAAAAAATTAGAAAGTAATTGAGTGAACACCCTTCGCCTCGACGAAGTTCACCACAAGACCAGAGTATACATCCATCTCGATTTTCCATCGTCCAAAATCCTTGACAGTTTCTACCGTAAATAGGCTCAAATAAAATGACGTCCCCGGCTCTTTAATAAGATAACAAGGTCATGAATTCCTGGCCAACTCCTCAAACTTTGATAAGGATTCTGCGAGTCAAGTCAACGTTCGCAGCTGCTCAGGCTTTTGATCGAAGTAGTCGGTACATCATAGATAGTCATCGAATAAGGTTTTGGTCCATGCCCAGTAATGTTTCTTCTTTGGACGAACAAATTCTTTCACATGTCCATATGTGTATTCCAGTGTTGTTTCATTTCTTTCAAAAGTCTTATGAATCATGTTAAAAGAATAGACGATAACGGAAAAAAAATTAAAACGTCGGCGAATATGCAGAATATATGTATATATGCGAATATGCTGGTCAGGAATTTTGCCATCATGGCTTCCTAAACTAAGACCATGGCCGAAAAGGGTAATGGGTAGACAGTTTCCTTCAAAATGTAAACGATGCAGCTGTTTCTCTGTGAATTGATGGTTCAAACTTTTTCGCAACCAACTCTTTTTTTTAAGTCATTCATGCCAGATATTTTGATATTTGACAAGTCCGTGCTTCTGCCACCTTACCACGGGGCGCGATATGGCACAAAGATTAAGCAATCCTTCGAACAAGTTCCAAATCTTGCTCTCTACAGGGGGTGCAAAACACGATGTTAGGCCAGTACGCTTCGTGATGGACAATATTTTAAAACTGTCGGTTTTGTTTCCTTTGGACGGAAATAAGCACGAAAGACAACTAAATTTAAAATCTTTACTTTATGGCTAACACAAGTAAATTTATGTAAATGAATTTTTGTTGCATTTACGTTTAAATTTTTAGGTTATAAGATGTCACTGACGCTTTTGATTAACAGAAGACGAAAACATACAGTACGCATCGAGCCTAATGTTTCTTTAAATTTAATAAACTAGCCTCTTTAACGAAGCTGATCGCGTGAACAGCTCTACTTATTGAGATGATCTTAAACACCAGGAAAAAAACTGCACATAACCTCTGGGCGATCTTACATGATTAATGCAACACAGGTTAAATTCATAAAAGAGAAGTAAAAGCTCATTTGATGGTTAAAACCCAAAGCTTTAGCGCGGTCTTTTTGATGGGTTCACCCGGAAGGAAGGAAGGAAGGTCAGACGCACACCAGAGAGGGTTGGTCACGCACCAATTTTTAATTATTTGATAACATCTTTAAAATACTTGCCTGATTGATGAACGGAAATTTCTTTTCCCAATCAACTTTACGTTATGCACGCGATTGCCAAGATGTTGACACCTAACAAGCTTTTACCGCGATCGATGAGACCTGGCTTTATGGGTCACATGTACGTCATAACCACCATTAGTTGCACGTGGTGAATGATGGAAGCTATCTAAGCTTTCCTGAAAAAGAAAAAGGATTATTAATGAAAAATAATCAATATAAATAACGAATAAGGAAATCACTGATTATGTATCTGTGTGAACGTTTCCCGTCAAGCCATCGGATCTCACTGTCAATGGATCACGCTTTTAGGTATAAACCTTTTAGCAATCGAGCGAGTATAATCAGAACTAATCAAAGCCAACTCCTCTTCGTATTGCAAACTCTGCACTTCAAGGATGGTACAAAATATTTGTCCTGTTCGACACAGGCAAAACTGATCGTTCATATGTGGGAAAAGTTTTTGATAAGTATGTTTAGGGTTTGTGAGTATAAGCTCTTTTGGTTTGTATGTTTATTTTCAATGAGTGAGCCTGACAGAGGATTCGCTGCGCTGCGTAAATTGGCAACGCTGTGGCAAACATATCTGTGCATACAGATCTTTTAAAGATTTAGGCATGAAATAATTACGTCTGTGTGTTCTCATTGCAGAAAAGGAAAGAAATCAAAATGAAATCAGAAAATGAACATTATCCACAGCAAAAGAGAATCGTTTTTAACGCTGCTGGAGTGAATTGTCAATCGCGTTACAATCATTTGGAAGGTGTAGGACAAAATGTGGAGGAAAAAACCACGAGCAAAGCTTGCTTGAAAATGGCTGATTACAGGCATCTTTGGGAGCAGGAATGCCACTCGAAAATCAAACATAACAATAGAGACAGTTCCAGTAATACTTCAATTCAAACCAGTGATTCATTTAACTCATCACTTTCTCAACCCATAACAGATGAAATAACTTTAAAAATGGATGCGGAAGACAAACTTTGCAGCGGGCCATGGCAATTATCAGTTTCTTCCGACCCGGCAAGTGTGTCAGATGTAATCGACAGAAAGATGTCTTTTGAAAGCATTGATTTTAAGTTACCAATACCAAGCATAGATGATGCACCTAGTCTAGATGATGTCTTTGATGTCCTTGATGCTGAAATGGATTTTTTTGGGCCAGATATGGCAACAGAACCACCTTCAACAGGATCATCTCCTCACTTTAATGACAGCCCTTACCAGTCTTACTGGTCTCATGGTTCATGTCAACCGCCACATGTTTACATTCCGTCTTCCAACCCATGCAACGCATTTCAAGGCTTTAATTTTGGCCTCGCGAAAGGTCTTCAAAACCCTTCCCGTGGTTTGATAACTGCAATAAGGAGATTGTGTGAGTTACTCTCAAAACCAAGATCAGACCATCTTGATTCTATTTTCGTTCGCCTCCTGAATGCAACCTTAAGAGAAATGGAGGCGGCCGCGCAACCTCAGTCCAAGAGCTCCAGGAGAAGAAGTGCAAGGCAAGATATCCCTTATAGACAGAGGATACGAGTTAACAAGTCTGCAAGCGACGCTGAAAAAGGTCTTGGGGCAGCCAACATCAGAATGAGCCGATCTGTCGCTTGCAAGTCCCAGTCCTTACCAATTATTTCTTCTAGATCTAGAGTAGCTCGCTGTACTGGGACTGTCGATCTGACTATGTTAGAGGGCGAGAAAACGAGCTCAGAGAAGACAAATACCAAAGCAGCAACTCAAAACGAGCCTTTTATAGCGCTGGAGGACACCATGCCAGTTTTCATGGGAAGCTTCATTTAGTATATCTAACTTCAGATACTATAGGACTCGTTAACCCTTAAACTCCCATAAGTGACCAAGAAAGAATTTCTCCTTACAATACTTGTACAATATCAAGCAGATAAGTGATGAGAATAAAGGAAAATATCATTAGGGGAATTGTTCGTTGATTCAATACCAAATTCTCAGAACTAGCATCACAAGAATTGTGTGACTGACGGTAAAGAGAATTACCAATGAGATCTTGGAAGCAAAAGGGTTAACCGCAGCTGGTGTAAGAATAAAATTGCGGACATCGCTAGTTGTAAGGTAACTTACCATCCTCTGTAGAGCTTACCGAGTCCAGGTTATAACAAAAAGTATCAAACGAACCATTAGCGTTCAACAAAAAACTCGTGATCACCACCCATTCACGACAAAGGAGAGCTGTGAACTAGAGCCAGCAAAGAGAACTTTAAAAACCATTTGCAAGTTTCCATTTTATTGTTCTATATAGCAGTAGAGTATGTGCAGTACCGATCGAGATAGTGAAGGGTATGCAGAGTGCTACCGTTGTTATGCGACGTAATTACATTTTAAATTTTTAAATTTTTTATCTTAACGATTACCTCGTTTATTAAAATGTTGCAATTAATTTTCCATTATGATAATCATAAGTATCTAATGATTTACCTTGAATTGCTAACAAAGTAGCAAGGTTTTAAACAACAGTACAATATTCTGAATCTCATCAAAATACAGCAGCAACACACGACATCGGTGCCTGGTGTCTTCCTTTACAAGTCCAGTTTTTTTTAGTGTTAATTTGTACCGATCCCTTCCGTCAATTTTAATGCGGCGAAAGATATTTTTCTTCGCCAATTGTGTATGTCACCATCCTTGTACGTAACAATGAAAAGATTTGATTGCATTCACGCAGTTATCTAAAGCTATTAGGATACAACCAACCACCCAACTTGACATAATTTTGAAAATAATGGTTTTCATTCATCCAGGTTAAATCAAGACAAAATATACTTGTAACATCCAAATCAAATTTTCTCACAGACGATGAGGCTAAAATCAACTTATCATAAAATTAGGAGACCTTTAGTTTTCCTCTGATGTTGGACAATATCTCTTAATATACAATCCATCATTGCGGTTAAATCTATAAAATTGGTAGGCTGTATGGCTTCTTTAAAAAAGCTGACAAAGATTAGGACCTTAAAGCCGAGGAAAGACCAAAAACATGCAAAGCTGGGTGACCCTAAGCTTGCTTTGCCATTTTTTTAACATTGAAGAAATGTAAAATGGTTTCCGTGTTTACATAGCCTGATGTAAACACGCGGGAGGTTGGGAAAACACGAGATAATCGTAGGAAACCACGACGCGAAGCGGAGTGGTTTCCAGCTTATCGAGTGTTCTCCAAACCTCCCAAGTGTTTACATCAGGCTATGTAGACACGGAAACCATTTTACATTTCTTTTATAAAATAACTAATGAAAGAGGAACGAAAACTGTGTTTACATACGCTCATGTAAAATGGTTTTATGGCCAATCAGAGCGCGCGTTCTATTTGAATTATTTTAAAATTTCTCTTGATATCAGAGCTGAATTATTTCTTACCTCTTTTACACGCGGGCGGTTTGAACAAGGGGTAAGTATAAGCGTCTTCCATCTCCTTTAAGGCATTGTCAAGCGTACAAACAAGAGTAAACGCTAAGTAATCTGATTTTGGTTCGGAAAGTAACTCACAAATCATTCTAGCTACTGTTACCAATCCACGGGAGGGGTTTTGGAGAAATTTAACGGAATCCATATTGATATTCTGAGCTACATTGCAAATGTCTGAGCTTTAAGTGTTAGAGATGAACAGCAGGTACAAGCTGTTGGATGTGAATTAATTGGACAGATCATCGTTAGCATGATGAGTTGTGGCGGATGTATCCATCGGCAGATACTCGACAGGACCCATTTCTTCCTGAACGTCAAAGACATCATCAAGGCCCAGTGCATCATTTACGCTGAAGCACATATCTGAGTCGATGCTATCTTAGTACGTTCTTTCATGTGTTTCGTCTAACAAAACAAGCATGTGATCGCAATCAACCGTGGAAGAGTGCGCCCACTGGTGCAGTATCTAAAGTCATTTGGATTTCTTCCTGAGGGTTGCCTGGTAACCAATTTGTCAGTTCGTATGGCGAAACACCATCTCCACTTTCGTTATTCAAATGGTGTTTGGAGTCGTGTTCTAAATTTCTATTGAAAAAATGATACTTCGTCTCCGAAATGGATGCTCTCTATATCAAAACAAGTGCTACTCTCATAAGAAGGAACATTGAAATAGCCATCATTCCAATCCAGCTTGGAAGACTGCATTCGTATGTCCCTGTGTTGAGACTGGCCCTGCCCGATCTCACTGGACTCCCCCTTTTCCTGACAAAGAGACAAAAGAGTGATGTCAAGAATAGTTTCCTACCTAAGTTGAAAAGTCCAAGGGGATAAGAATGACGAAAAAAATAGTTTTCAGCTTTCTATTTTGGAAAAAAAGGCTTTACGCTTTTCTTTGCTAACAGTTGTATGCGTTGACAAACTAAAGGGAAATATGGTAAATCCTAATTATGCCTTCCGGAAATTTTAGTTTTACTTGCAACTTTAAATCATAACTGTGATCGACCTGAGAGTTTCAACGAACCGTCCTTATGGTGATCATTTTTTGTTACACGATTTAAATTCCGGTTCATATTATCATTCTCAGAAAGTTCCTTACACTTCTTGAATCCATCTCTCGGATATCTATCTGCCGGATATCCACCGTCGCTGCGCCCCCAAAACGCATTTTACAACCGTTGTACAAGGCTAATAACCAAAATTATAAAGGCTGTAAGATAAGTCTCAACTCAGACTGATTTCTTATTCAAGCTATTTTAAATATCTAAGTTGGGGCCTTACAAATTTATTCATGTAGAATAAATTTGGAAGTTGGAAGCTGATATAACCCCAACAGAGCAAGGCTACAGACTATGGCTTGATTTCTGTGCTTGATTAAATTTCCTTTATTCAGAAGATTGTATAGATTACTTATGGTTACTTACTAATGAAATGCAGATCCTATTCAAGCAATTCTTCAGCAAAATCCAGCAAAATGATATCCTGCAGATCGAAACTGAACTCGTTCATTAGGTCGTGCCCACCAACATCTTCAACAGACTCCTTGGTTAGCATTGGTTTACTTGGAGTCTGCTGCACCTGGAAGCATCCAGCCATCAGATTGGCTTCTGGTAGAACGTCGTCGCATAATGAAGGAGTCACTGGTGGCGTGGACGATAACGACGATGAAGATGACGAGGAAGATGCAGATAATGGTGTAGGCGATGTTGACGAAGATGGAATTATGAACGAGGCGGGTAATGACGTAGACTGCAGCATTGGTATGTCTGCTTCTACTACAGGTGTACCCCACTGGTTCTCCACTTTCACTGTGCCATTTTCAAAGCAGTCCATCATCATCGGTCTTGGGTTGTCAAAGGACCTTGTTATGACGTTCCCTTTCGAACGTTTCGAGACTGTGGATTCCATACTCGCAAGAGCCTGCTTAAAAATTGGAATGGCCTCTATCTCCAGCTGATTTGACGTCACCATCTGTATAACGGTATTCAGACCCTGCAAAGCGTTGCAAAGTACCTCCAATGGCTGCTGAATCGCCTGTTCTTGCAGTGCTTGGATTGATTTGCAATTGCCATTAAGATTGGTACTGTGTTGTACGGTATTTTGCCCTTGGGGCTGAAAACTGCTACTTCGGTCAACGTAAGGTAAAATAGCCATGCTGAGGCTCTCATATCGTGGTGCTGGGATTTTCTTTAAGCAATCAAAAGAGGCTGTTTCCTTCCTCACGTTGACGAACTTTGGCTCAGGCAGTATTTTTTTCTGCCCATTCCTAGCTGACACATTGGCGTCTCCTTGAGTCGCCGCTGTTCCTCCTAATTTTCTCCTCGGTGGCGGCAAAGCAGGGGGTTCAGGGAAAGGACTAGCCAGTCCACTTGTGAGATTGCTAGTGAGTATTTTGCAAATATCACAGCGTCCCTTTTTCTTCCTGCATGTTTGTAAATGATTCTTCCTTAGCTTTATGTTAATGCAAGATGGCAACAGACAGTTTGGATCTGAACACCCAGGGGGATGAATCAATTCATTCAGGCCCAAGGCTTGGCTAACGCTTAATGCTTTTTGGCTGTCCTTTAGTTCACCAGTAAACATCTGTGGAGTCAGAAAAAAACGACAACTTTATAAATATCTCGAAGGAGCGTAGTATGGCGGGTAAATGTTTATTAGAAAGCCTCTGGATCATATTACGTTCCTGTAAATTAACCTTAAAAGTCGATTTAAGAAAAAAAAAAAAAGACGTATCTTCTGCGGGAAATTGTTCGAAATATAGCAAAAAAAGCGAAAGCTTTAGTGGCCCTAATGATATCCACAATATTCATTATAGCTTTCGTAACCTCCAACTCACCCCATGTTTCGAGCAAAGACTGTCAACTCTAGCTCAGCAATGAAAAATTTACCTTAAACTTACAAATTGAAACAAAATTCCAGTAAATATATGGGTAACATAATAACATGCTAAGAGGACAAAAAAAAAAAGCATAGCGAACCAGACCTCAAGATTTGATCGGAAAAACTAGAAAAGCTGCAAGTGAAGTCCTCGTTTGGTAATTTGATGTATGAAGCAATTTGTTTTGCCAGTTGAACGTAATTTTGACCCAATTCCTCTTAGTTTGAGATTTATTAATGCTCACGAATCGCGATCGATTTCCTTAGTTGGTCAGGGTTCTGCCAAGAGAAAAAATAATTTGCTTAATAAGCTTAGCAGCGTAATATAGCCCCTATTTAAGCTACAACGATAGAATGAGCCTAAAGGGTATCCCATTTCAAATGGGGGCATAGCAGCGATATGATCTTTGGAAAAAAGTGATTCTTTTAACAGGTTGAATATTTAATTATCACCCCTCAAAGTAAAGGGGCAGCCGGATAGAATTGCCCACACTTGACTTGCGACACGGCCATGTCTGTACATGCTAATTCATGCATTTTTAAAGAAACATCTTGGAGTCAACAAATGCTGTTTCCGGCTGAGCTTATGAATTGAATTTTAGTTCGTGCTAACTCTGATGCAGCAAACTATTTTTCGTTTTGATACTTATCAAGACCCTCAAATTGAATCTATATGTCCAAGAAACGACGTGACTTCGGAAAGTCGTTTCTTGGAAAGGTCATTTCCACAACCACGATTCTTCGAACTCAGCATACAATTATGTCAATAAACAAAATAACGCAAACAATCGAGTATTGGTTATCAGTTGGCCATTAGAGAAGAATTTGCGCTTGCTCAGCAATTTTCCCGAGTATGACAGATCTTTGATAACATGTTAGTCAAAGGAAACGTAATGAAACACCGTCAATTTGACGCGAAACGTAAGAAACCACGTAATCTGCTATTTACAATGCTGCAAAAAACAAGTTGCTAACAGCACCGTTAAGTGATTATGTAAAGGAAATGAAAAGGCCTACGCGACAAAATTGCACGTCATCATGATTCAAATGTCAGAAAAGCTCTTCAAATCGCTACTATTTTTCAGTGTTGGTAGCTCAAAATTAGTTCTAATCATAAAATCAACTCAAATTATCGAACTGCTTACTTGTACGAACGATTGGTAGTTAGTTCCTTCTCAAGATCCGAATTTTTCGTTTCTTTGAAGTTGCAGTTCTCTATCCAAGTTTTGCAGTACGTATAGTAGTGTTAAATGAAAATCT